ATCTCAAATTTTTGTTAATAAATTAAAATTGTACGTCGACTTCACCGAAATATTCAAATTTAATATTTGATATTTCTGATACATTAATATATTGATTTTTGCAAACAAATATATGACTTAGCTTTTCATACGAAAAATATATTATATATTTTCTATTATTTGCACCAATGATTGAAATAATCTAATGTTAATTAATCGGCTTTCTGTGGATTTAATCTAATCTTCTGTAGTAAGAAGGCTAAAGCAGATCCTAGATTAGCCTACTTAAAGTAACTAGCATTTGCTCTATTGTGTAGAGAGAGAAGAAGAGAGAGAGCGGGGGGGGGGGAGAAAGATTTATTTAAAAAATTCATTCTATAATTTTTTATGTTAGTAACTACCAAAGTAAAACTAATTTCAATATTTAATACTTTCAGTATTTATACTAATAAAAATATCATTTATAATAGCATAAAAAACGTTAAATAAAATTAGATATACATAATAATATAATAACAAAAATTTTTTAACATATTTTTGTACACAATTAATTCATTTTTTGTACTATAAAAAGTTATAATATTCGTTAAAAAATTAAACTTAATATGGGATCTCAGTCTAATTTTTTAAAACTATTTCATCTAGTAATATACAGCTATCTCATAAAAGCAAGTCTAGGTCGTAACTAAAAATCAAATCCGAGTTCTTACCAGTCCCCTATAACGAATAAAATTGAATTTCCGCGTGTTTTGCTCCTTCGTCTCGGCGCTTAGCGACCCTTCTTAATCTCCCTCGAAATCGCAAGTTGAATTTTTCTCGAAGCACGAATATCGAGGCATCGATAATTTAATCCTTCTTTAATCTACAGTGGACTTCCACAAGATTTTAACTCGAGATTTAATAGCGTAGTTATTCAATGTTGGAAATTGGAAAAAAAATTGCTACAGAAGATTCTCTTCGATATTCTTCGACATTCAATTATAGGATAGATCAGCTCCAATTTGGAGAATCTGCCAATAACATTCAGTCTTTTTACTTTTCAAATATCCTCTACTAACCCGCCGAAATAATTCCAATAAATTAACAAGCTTCTTCTTGAGATCACGTATACTCGGGTCACCCCGTGTACATTGTGTATACACCCTATGTACATACACGTGCACGGCAGAGATGCGACACGTTATATACGAAGCCAGGAAGAGTACTGGCGATGATGACGACGGTATCCTCGTATGCGTTTATTTTCAGAAACCAACGTAACCGTGTGCTGAGCGCGCGTGGTTGTCGAGAAATCTAATCTAACGCTCGGAAATTCGATAATCCACGACCATAGATAAGATTCCGCGTACGTACGTATATATATATATATATATGTGTGTGTGTGTGTGTGTGTGTGTGTGTGTGTGTGTGTGTGTGTGTGTGTGTGTGTGTGTGTGTGTGTACATACTGGCATACCTGGTCTGTTCGCTTCTCTCATGTATCAGCGACATCCTGATTTCCCCGAACGCTTGCATACAGTATACACACAAAGTAAAATAACTAACATTCTCGATAACATATATCAAGTGAAACAACTAATGTACTCGATAACAAAAGGTCGCATGGAAACTCAAATGAAAGAAAAAAAAAAATAATAGAAAGAAAGCGACAGTAAACGTAACAAAAATATTCACAATCAAGCAATATAATTTGATTGCATTTAAATCGTTATTCATTATATTTGAAGATTATTCAAATTTTTTAGAAAACGTCTATGTATTACACTCATTTGCTATAACGATATAACTAGAAAAATAAAATTTTTCAAAAAATGAGTTTAAATGTTTTGAATAATTAAAAT